CCCCAAAACCCCAAAACCCCAAAACCCCAAAACCCCAAAACCCCAAAAGAGTAAGTCTATTGAATCATAATATATTTTAGCGATCATGAAAATGCGAAATCTTATATGGTAAGTTTAAGCTAGCTATCTTTTCATATCAAAGTTATTTAGTGCTCTAATTTAGATTCTTTGAACATTGTTTAGAGATCCTTAGAGATATAAAAATTGGGATGGCTCCTTTAAACAGAGGTTATCTGCAAAGAACCATTTCTCTTCATAAACACTGAGATGGAGCACACCTTTCGATCTCGAAAACTATAATTCGCTGCAATTTTTATGAAATTTAGGGAAGGGATAATGAGTTTATGCTTAGCTCTATGAACTCAGTTTTAACAAATATAGCCTTCTCTATTATAAATAAGTCTTCTTTAATGAACCATATCTAATTTAAACTTGAAGCTGCGTCTATGACACTTTTAGAATATTTAAAGAACCATAAAGAGCAATTTTAAGATTCCTTTTAGTGAAATGTAACTTATTGCTAAGAAAAGCTATTCCCATTTTCTCCCATTTTACATATTCTTGGAATGGATAAATATATCTGAATTTCTTTTAGAAGAACAACAATACTAGCAATCATCTGCATAGCGGTATGTGTTTTCCCAGTTCAAGCAGAGGATCAAGTAAGGATTTTACAGAAAACCTGAAGAAAAAGTTTGATCAATTCCTGATTATAGGTCGACGAAGTAAAGTCTCAGAGAAGTCATGAAATGGATCAATCTCTGACTGGAAGGAACAGAAGGCAGTTAAATTAGAGCTCCAAGTAGGTCGGAATAGATACGAAGCTGATGTCCTGTCCTTGTAGAATATTTGCTAATTATTTATGGTTTCCTTTGCAACTAAAATTGTGAGGTTTTAGCAATAGTTGGCTGTCTTAGTGGTTATTTTAATTTTTGGTGTTGTTAATTCGTGACTCACTTTGAATAGCACAACAATACGACCCTTCAGAGTGCCTCAGAGGATTTTATGGGGAAGAATGATCGCCCTGTCATAGTTCATGCAGAACTTGTAGCAATGGCGACTCCTGAGACACTTGTGAAGATTTTATGTACTTGGATAAGGATTCTTTATTGTGTAGAACATGATATCAGGATTATTTCTACGATGACACTACAGAACAATGAACTAGCTGCGAAGGTTCTTGAAATAATGAATGAGCCCACAGAGATGAATGCCTTCAATGTGGAGATAGTCTTATTCTTGATATTGATACATTTGAATGAGTCTCTGAGTGAGCAAGTGGAAAAATTGAAGTGATTTCATCTCAATTCATCACCAATAAAATCTGAAAAACACAAAGTATTTACGTTGATCCTGAAAGTTCTAAAGCTATTGAGCTTGGCACTCTGGAGTACCCATATAGGACAATGTTGGCAGCTGGATCAGAAATTTTACACCATTATAGCCATAGTGATTCAAATATTACAGTCTATACCAAGGATTGCTATCTCCAAACAGACCATTTTTATATCATAAATATGACATCTGTTAATTTTATTAACCATCCAGATTTGCCAGGAAATAAAATGGCAAGTATAGTTGTCTCAAATCATGAACAGGAATGAATCTCTCTGAAGGCTCGAGTACATCTCCTGGCTCACTGAAACACTGATCCTTCTGAAGAAATAAGCGCTGGCACATTCACAGAATCTGAATTTTTCGATTTCTCAAGCTCAAACGTTTGCTTCCATTTATCAAGGTCAGATCTGAAAATGGAAAATGTCGAAGTTTATGCAGATAATGTAGACGATTGAATTAGAGCTTCCTTTGTACAAGAAAAAACTATTTGGCTAAGTAAGGACCAAGTCTAGCATAAATTTGTTAATTTTGAACCTCTTTGCTCCATTACTTTCCCGTTTTTAATAACATCGAAAGCTTGCTAGCATTTTAAAGTGTTGCTTTGTTAACGTTCTCCAATTTTTTAACTAAATTTGAGGATGATCTCCCAATCTTGATTGTTCCTACATGTTAAAGCGTCATAGTTGGCGTATCAGGGCTTTTGGTTATCTCTACCAAAAAGTTTCCAATAACTGACAAATTACTGAGATTATTATTATTTGAATGGTCAAATTTTGAATAAAGTGAATTCCAACTTGTTATTGCCAATAATCTTGCCTATTAATACATCTATATTGCTGGAATAAATTTCAGCTTCTTACACGAAGGCTCCTCCGTTAAAATATGAATTATTCTAAACCTAGATATATTCCCTCAGTTATCTAAAATGTGAGTCTAGAGATTCCTAATTCTATTTTAGCCACTCAGAACTGAACAAAATTAGATAAAAGACTTAATAGGAGTGCATCCATTAATTTCTAAAGCTGTAAAGCTTTAGAGAGTTACAAAAAGTTTTTAAGATAATGTTTATTTAGCATAAAATGAGCCTCTTTATTGCATAGATGTAAAATAAAATTCGAACAGTTGACTTCAGAGGCACATAAAATTAGTATATACAGATGAAATAGCTGAATCAATAAAGTTAGCCTAATTAATAGTATTTAAGTCCACTAGAGCTTAAAGAAATAGGATATCCACCTGGCCTTATCAGAGGTACAACGGACTTAAAAATATCAGAAAGTGGCTTAAGGCTCACTGTATCTCTTAAAAAAGGCAATATGGGAGAAGCCAGCTATCTATAATCAATCTTCTGAGGAAGATCAGTTCTGGTCTTTATTAAAATTTCTTGGATCCTGGCCCCATTAGTTAAAAGACTTACAAAATATATGATAGGAATAAACCCGTTTAACTAAAAATAGTACTAGACCCGAGCAACTTATGAAGGATCTGGATTGATCTTGTTTGAACCTTCACTGCTCTACTGCTGGCTTCTCACACCTTTCCTTTCTGGAGAGATAGAGGCTTTGGTGATAATCTTTGAATAGTTTTTAACCCACAGTAACTCTGAAGAAATTAAGTGTCTGCACCAACTTTCTTCTGACTTTGTGGCGTATTTGTTATAAATTCGGCTGATTCATTGCCTCAATAGGTCACCTTGTAATCAAGTATTCTGATTAACTTCTTTTCATACAATAAATAGATTATTTTCGCCACCTCGAAGAAAGTCATTAAGATAAGTAGTTGGTGTAAAGTTGTGTTAATTTCGTTGAAATGGCTGTAAAGTTCAAAAATTCAGGTAATAAAGCAAAAATTGAACTTTTAGAGATTATTATAGCCATCAGTATTGGCTACTAAACATAAGGAGCAGAGCAGTGGTTAGAGCCTGACAGTTATTAATGGTCTCCTTCTCTGTTTTTATAATACCTCCTCTTGTTAGCCTCCCTGAAAGATGTTAGCTTAAAATACTTTTAGAGTGTAAATTTTTTCTTCTACATTTTTTATCGAAATATCTCATAAATTTTGTCATATCCGGAGAAATTTGAGTTGAAGTACTCAGTAATTTCTTCTTGAGAGTTCTTAATATTCCTGAGAATTTAGTTGCTCTAAGTTCACTTTTTGGTACATGCTCTAGGATTTTTGTCAAGTTTAGTAGTAAAAATTATGATCAAAAGGTTAATTCCAGTATGATTGATAAGTCATCGAGTTAGTCTTACATTCTCTAAAAAAACTAGCTTATCGTATTATATTTAGAAAATAAGCCCAATTAATAAGAATAATTTGGGTACTTGTATTTAATGCAAAGACTCATTAAAATTAAACAATTGGAAAGTTGAGACTAGATAAAAATCAGGATTCTGAAAATTTAATTAATTGAATTTACAACAGTAGCATTGGGTGCTTGCTAAAATTGAGAAACTTTAAACTCACTGGTAATTAGTCCAGTTGATGTAACAACTAAAAAACTAGATGCATCTCCACCACTAAAAACTTTAAACCCTTATTTACTCCAAATAAACAACTAAACCATCGATAGGCTTACAGCAAAATTTCTACTTCACTCTGGTTCACTAAAATTCTGTAAAATTCTTCATTTTTGCTTCCTAAATTCTACTCGAGATTTCACTTCAGTTCAGTTTTTTGTGAAATGGAATAGAGGGAGAATGGGCTAAGAGGGTGGCTTTTGAGTAGGGGTTTTGGAATGGAGGTTGAGTAGTTTTGGAGAGGGGCTGGAGGAGAGGTGGGGAAGTTGAATGGTGGGTAATCTTGTGTTTAGATAACGTCAGAGTGGCCAATACAGGAGATTTCATACACTCAGCTGATCCTCTCGGAGTACATATAGAGAATGTGGTCATGGATAGTTCAAGAGCTTATATGCTTGTTGAAGGATTCTTTTGTATCTGAAATTACCCTGAAGCAAACACTACAAATCTTATTTATATGAATAATGTTACTCTCGAAATGTCCTCTGATAACTTTCCTTATGGACGTATTATCGGGTCAGCGTTTCCAGGAAATCACACAATTTCAAATATAAACTGAACATACTTTGCTTCTGGAAACATGAGAGAGTTTGCTTGTTCGTCCTATATCCTGTTTCCGAACTGAATCCCAGAAGATGATCTCCAGATACTGTTTCAGTATAGTAATATGTCGTTTGATGGCAGATTTGCCAGTGGAAGAGGTGATTTCTCTTTCCCAGCTTACTCGCAATCTGACCTTGTGCATTACAGGAAGTATGAGTACCGATTTACCAATTTCACTTTTACGAACTACGACCATAAATCACACTATGGACTTCAGCTACAGCTTGGGCTTGGCTCCGAGATTAATATTTTGACCAATTATTATTTTAAAAATATCACTGACCACCTTCCGATCCTAGAAAATCGAAATTTGAAATCTTCTATTCTGAAGAATTTTACTTTTGCAGATAATCCAACTCTATACAATAGTATGGTAACGATCTATACAAATGGGGACTTGAGCATCAGTGATTTTAATATCCTTAACTACAAGAATGATGGCTCAAGTGTCCATAAGCCAACTATTGATGTTATTCCAGGACCTTATTCTATAGTGACCTTTAGTAACTTCTTTCTCTCCAATGTCACTGTTGCTGATTCAAGGATTTTCAACTTCCAGTACGGACTGAAGTTGCTGACCTTGAACAACTTCAATTTCAGTGATGTACAGTTTAATACTGGAGGAACGGTATTTAATTTCCAAGAGATTGGAGCATTCTCTATTACAGATTTTGCATTTGATAAAGTAAGACCAATCAATGAGCCTGACTCTGACTCTAGAATATTTAACATTCGGTCACTCTCTATTGACAAGATGACGATTGGTAAGATTAGAAATATCTTCATCAGAGACTCTGTGTTCACGTTGTATGGAATAGAGTCGATTTTTGAATTCACAGATGAACTGAGATCTTTGTTCATAAGCAACTTCAGCTTCACAGATAGTACTTTCCCGACAATCAGAACTTTAATTACTACTGATATTTTTGCAGGCCACACTAATCTAGAAGTGAGTATGGATTCAATGAAATTTGAAAACCTTAATTTTGCATCTGGAGGGACTTTATTGAGCCTGTACCATCAGCTTCCTAATACACTGAATATTACAAACTCCTCTTTCAAAAATATATGGTCAGGTAATATCTACATTGGAGGAAGTGCTAACCCTGAGAAACAAAGAACTCAAGTGCTCTTCAAAGAGTGTCAGTTTGAGGATATTCTTGTGCCAAATAACATATTGTTTGAAATCACTCAGACTTCTATTGTTGAGATACAGTATAACTTATTTAACAACATCACTTGTTTAGAGGTTCTTTCAGGGATATTTCTGATGAGGTCTAAATCTCAGCTTTCTATCAGTGATACAATATTCAGTTCAAACTCAGGCATAGACTCAGTGCTGTTTAGTATTGATGACTCTAAACTCTCATGAACTAATTGAACCGTTGCCAATAACTTTGGACTTCAGAATGGGCTTTTTGCGGTTGAATCTTTTGGGACAATTTCCTTCTTCAACAGTGAAATTCATGACAACTTTGGAGTCCAAAATCTACTCGGGTCTTTATTCTTAGGTGTCAACCCATCTGTTTTCAGCAACTCTTCAGTCTATGATAATTATTTTATCCCTAAAGTAGATATTCTAAAGGAGGTCACAGAAGGATGCACCCATTTGTGATTCTTGACATCCCAAATGAAAGATTATTTAGCAGGAAATGATCTATCCTTTGTTGCAGAATCAGAGTATCTTTTAGAGGTTGTTCAGGCTAGCGTAGATATCATAGACCAATCACAAGTGTATCGGCAATCTCTGTTACTCAATTCTTTCTCTTCAACAATCACAATACAAAACTCAAGCATCTCAGATATCTCATTCAAAGCGATACCTCTAAGTATAGTGTCTTCAACTCTGAATATGAATGATTGAACTGTTGATAATGCTACAGAATTGATTACAGGCTCAAATCTAATTCTAGTAAACTCTGGGACAGCAAATCTTTCAAAAGTTGAGTATACGAACTCCAATACTAAATTTATGATTGCATTGAACTCAGATATCACTCTTGAAGATATAGCTTTGAAAAGCATGGCTTTTTCTAGTGAGGCCATTTCTATATCATACTGTAACTCATTCTATCTAAGAGAGTTTTCATTAAATAATGTTTCATTTGCAGGAAAGTACATAATTACTTTTATAAAATCTAACAATATTGTTGCTGAGAACATTACATTGACAGCTTTGACTGAAACATTTATGAATTTCAAGCAATCTAATGTCACAAGAATTCATCATTTACAAATCACAGAAGGTATCCAAGCTTTTAAATTTGTGCTCACAAATGTGCAAGCTATATCAGAGAGTGTATTCAGTAAGAATACTGGCACAGGATCTGGAGGAACCTTTTCTATGGAAAACAGCAAGGTAAGGATATATGATTCCACCTTTGTCAACAATACTGCAGTCAATGGGGGAGCAATAGAGTTCCATTGAACTGGAACCTCAAGCTGACTTCTTGACATTAATTCATGTCACTTTGAGAATAATACAGCTACAGTCATGGGTGGAGCTATTCATTATGATTATAATAAACCTTCTGTTATGAATACAAGCTTTGTAAATAATTCAGCTCAATACGGAGAGAACTTTGCAAGCTATGCAAATAGAATAGGGCTTGTCAACTCAAGTACGAATGATGACATTATTAACCAAGAAGGTATCAGCTCATTGAAATTTTCTATTATCAATGATGTTGGCCCAGGCATTAAAGTTGAGGAAACACTATATTTTGCATTACTCGACATGGATGGACAAGTGATGAACTTGGACAGTCTCAATACAGTCATCCTCTTTCCTAAAAATACTTCTCTTTCAACTATAGATGGAGCAAATGTTGGACTGCTTAGGAAAGGCATTGCTATGTTTGATAATATAATCATGGAGATTGATGTAAATCACCGAACAGCTAACTATTCTATCACTTCAAAAGCTATCGATAAGGCAAGAGTTGCCGATGTGCTATCAGATAGTTTCAAGCAGGAAGACCTCATCGTGAATTTTAGAGACTGAAAACCAGGTGAAAGAATCATAAATAATGCATGTATTGAGTGAACAGCTGGCACTTATTCGCTTTTCTGGAATTCAACTGAATGCCATGACTGTTATTTACATGCAGATTGTCTCGGAGGTAATCAAGTATCTTTAAAGCCTGGATACTGGAGGCGTTATCAGAACTCAACTAAAGTTGTAGAATGTATATTTAGAGATGCATGACCTGGAGGGTACTCGAAAGATACTATAGTACCAACTAATTGAGCGAGTGGTTACACTGGGAATCTCTGATCTGAGTGTAAGATTACAGAGGATTTCAAATATGAGAGAATCAATGACTTTGAGTGACAAAAATGTCCAAACCCTATCTTTAATTCGATTAAAGTTGTAGTTGTAATGTTAGTAGTGCTCAGCTTCTTTATTCTTATGACTATTATCAACGTTAGAAAGACAACTGAGAGTCAGATATCAGTACTCCTAAGAATATTAACAAACTACTTGCAACTGATGATTGTGTCTACATCAATGAGTAACCAGTATCCATCAACAGTAATCACTATTTTCATCCCATTCAAAGCTTTTGGAGGATCTACTGATGCATTCTTGTCATTTGATTGCTTCTTGGATCAATCTCAATTGAAGGGCCCATTTGGATCAAATTCAGTATTTAAGCTGTTTCTTCTGATGTTTCTACCAATAATACTGTTCATTATAGTCTCTTTGATGTGGGTGGTCACTTACCTCATTCGAAAGAAATGGGCCCCAAATATGAAAAGAAACCTGATCATCACATTCATTACAATTGTGTTTATCCTTCACCCCAAGATTGCTGAGAGGAGCATCAATATTTTCAGATGTATTGAAATAGATGAGAATACAAAGGTGGCACTCATAGATACGAAAATTATCTGATATTCGTATACTCATTTGAAGTGGTGAATTATTGTGGCACTACCTATTCTCCTGATTTGGGTCACAGCATGTCCCCTTATTGCACTCATCCTCATGTATAAAAACAAAAAGAAAATGGGTGACTACTTCTTGACTATATATCAAGGGCTAAAGCCAAATGTAAGATATTGGGAGTTTGTCAATACTTTGAGGAAAGTACTTATTCTATCATCTCTGCTGCTTACTACTACTTCTTCTGTATTTGTAGCCTTATCGATCTTGATAGTATCATCGAGGCTGCAAATATGGCTGGACCCATACAAGAACCCTGAACACTCAAAGGCAGAGTATATGGCTATGATGGGTGGTGTTCTGACAATCACCGCTTCTCTCTTATATTCTCAAAATGAACAAGTAGCTTGGATGAATGTGTTCATTCTGTATGCAATCTTGTTGATAAATCTAAAATTTGTTCTTGACTGGTTGTATCTAGTGCTCAAGTTGTATCATGCCAAGAATTGTGCTTTTGAGATGGTAAAGTTTAAAATCAATTAATTATAGGCCTTCAAACTTCTTTCGAGATGTCTGTGAAAGAAATACGAGTAATTCTTCACTAAATATTTAGAATTGAAAAGAAGAAAACTAAAAATAAAAAGAAAGTAGAGAAATTTGCAAAGGAAACCCCTGATAGACTTGAAGAGGTAAAGAAAGTACTAGTATTTCCCAAGAAAAAGAAGAGAACAAAGCACAAGCGTATTGCATAAAACATAATATTTAGGTAATAAAATGCTAAAATCAGTCCATAACTCCCCCAATCTCAACGAAAACATTATGAAAGCAAGCTCTAATCGGGACTGTGACTTAACTGACCACTCTTTCGTCAAGAAAAAGACTTCAAGAAGACAAAGGGGGCTTAAAAACCGTCTTAATCTCTAATCTCCATCGCTTTAATTCTAAATATCATAATTATCCTCTCAACACTCCTTTCGCATCCTGGGGTTTTGGGGTTTTGGGGTTTTGGGGTTTTGGGG